GATATAAATTTAGAGAATATCCAGACCATTCCATTTGGATTACTTCACTCTCAAGATAATCCGTGTTTAGTGCACCATGATAAGAGTGTGCATTATTTCTCATCAGGTGGAAGTTTTTACCAATTCCACACCTAAACAACTTAGCATAAGAATCACAAACCTCATCTCTGTAAATTCTAGCATTCCTAGTTGCACTGTTAAAAAAGTAGGTCAGTGTAGTTATTAAAATGTTGCCCGTACCATGATTGGACTACTTTTTTGCCAATGTCTTTTATGGGTGTTTTCCAGCCTACTCCATGTGTTTTGCTTCCTCCATTTAACAGCATGTTTGGAGCCACTCTCCAAACAAAAACAAGGCTCATTAGTAAAAAAGAACTTGGCTCCATTTCATAGCACTTTAATCATGATGATTTCTATACCTTTGCGACCAACCACATTTTGCAGCACAAGTTAGCAGGATACAAATCATGGATTTCCTTGCATACAGCCCTCTTTTATGCAGCCTATCGCACATTGCATATCTTAATAGTCAAGCTCATGTAGTTGCAAAACATTTTAGCAATCTGAACTGACATTAGTTGTCTGTTTCTTTTAACACCCGTTGTCAAATAACAGTCCTGAGAATTAGTTGTGGTATTTTTATACTTTGGTCCTGGTTATCTGAATACATCACCATTGTCTGTAAATTGTTTCCAGATTCATCATGTACTTGTTACAGCCCTTAAGATTAATAGTTGAAGCACCCACTTTGCACTCCTTTCTTGAAAGAAAAAGGGGAAATTTGTATATTTCTGTGTAGTAAAAGGACTGTGTGATAGCTCTGACCTTGAACTACCAACCAACCATCTTTCATTGATCTTAATAGAATGAGCATAAAACACCTTTTTTATAGTTGTTACTTCAAGTTTTCCAGTCTGTGTATATTATGTATTGGACCATCCATAAAGTTATGCCATTTTCTAATGATAAATATAAGTTAAGTAGCACCAAAACATAAGAAATTTTCATTGAATCATTTAAGCACGATTTTGTTTAATAACTTTTCACATCTATTTAGCAACTGAAAGATTCGTGCTGTTTAATAGTCTTCAAACAATTCACAATTTTGAAGTGACTTGAATAGATGAAAATCAAAGGGGGAAGGTCCGATGTATATAGGGGTGGCACAAAATATCCCAGCCTTACTTAATCATCTGCATTTGGCACTCATCGAAATGTAAAGCTAAGCTTTGTCATGATGGGTAACTTTCAAGATTGGTCAGTCCAGGACAATTTTTTTCAACTTCTGCTTTTAAAACTGCCATTTAGAAACAGTATTATTCTGAATTTATTGTCTGATTTTATGTAATAGTGTATACAGTCAAAAGTCGTTAATCCGGACTCGTCGGGACTTCGGCGATTCCGGGTTATCGATTTTTCCGGATTATAGATCATCTGTTTAAATCTGGTAAGATGGCATGCAGAAATTATAAAATTAAAAATATGAAACCATAATTTATGAAATAAAGAACAATTATGATCTAAAGGGTATCAAAATTTACAAAAAAAAAAAAGCTTAATATTTATTTGTTTACTTTATTAAACATTTCTTTCAATGTAAGTTGTTTAAGTTGCTTCGTTTTTTATGTGATAATACATTCTCTTTAATTCTATAAACAGACATAATTTCTTGTTCAGTTACAAAGTTCTGCTGTTGAAGTCCTATAATTGCTATGTCGAGAATACCGACTAATTTGTCAATCGAAATTTTTTCGTTTTCAATAACCTCTGTCACTTTCTTCGCTATCGGAAGTGAATTATAATGACGAGGAATTTGATTTAAATCATATCAAAGACGGAGTACATCGAGATGAAATACTACATTTAGTAAGGAATTATAAGCCAAATAAAATAAAAACATCTGCTCTGAAGATAAGGATAGTGCTAACAGATCAACTTCCAATTGATTGCACACCATAGCGTTAAAGATAAACAAAATTTAGATAAACAAACGTTAAAGTTTAGATAAACAAAGGATATGCCTTTATCCATTTTTTGCAGCAATTCCACTTTTTGTTTAATGGACTTCGAAACATACTTTCGCTTTGTAGATACTTTACATATTAGTAAATATATATCAGAAATTCTATTTGACATAATCGAAAGTTCAAGCTTACTTTTATGAAATTGCTCTAACAGTCTGCAAAAAATAATAAGCCGAATCCTAAGGAACAATGCAATCTGCAACATTAACTGAATTAGATAATTTTTAGCTTATACCATCCGTTATACATTAAAAGCGCATTTGTAAATGTATTTTGCGCACACGCATATTCGCAGCCGTAAAGGTCTTACGCGCATATAGCTTTGAGGTATTCCGGATTATGGGTGTCCGAATTAACGACTTTTGACTGTAGTATTCCCACCATAACAAAGCATTACTTTTTTTAAAATGTAGTTTCCCTCTCAAGCTTAGTAAAGGATCTAACTTGGCTTACTATTTTTTTGTTGTAATATTATTATATAGTATCCACTTCTCATTTCTTGTCAGCAAAGATTTATATGCTGCAACTCAACAAGCATATTCTGCTCTGTTAACACCTTAAGCGCTAGATCAGCACTGGGAGAACAAAGCGCAGTCATGGGACCAGACCTGCTGAAATGGATCTTCACCACTAGCCCCCACATTTTCAGCAGTTAAGCCTAATTTTACAAAAAAAAAATCATATAAAATTAGCATTTTTATATTATGACTTCAATTTTTGAAGTTGCGTATTTAATGTACTTGTTTAAGGGTATTAATATAAAGAATATCACATTTATAGAAATAAATTAAACAGGCAAAATACTAAAATCATAACTATACACACAGAAATAAATACTAAAAACATGAAAAAAAATTACAAATACAAAATTTAAAAAAAGAATTACCTGTAGGTAATTAAATTCCAATTTAAAAACTCTGTTGTGAAATAATTCAAAACAAGGATCCACACACAATCCTACATTGCATATTTCGCACTCAAAATGCGTTGTTTGGTTTCGCTTTTCCTTGGTTTTAGCGCACACAACACATCTTCTCCTACCTTTATTACCTTTTCCGTCAACTTAAATTTTTGGAAACTGTCTTCCAGTTAGACGGAAAGGTGAAGTGTCCGATGATTATGGACAAGTTTTTAAGTAAGGTCTCTTAGCCATGGTTAACAGAATGAAACTGAATATAACCCCAACTTATGTCCCAAAACTTCTTCAAAAGACATCCTCAAACCCTGTGTGACATCAGGTTTATATTCGAAAACTTGTTTTTCTAAATCGAAAACAGCGTCCACAATGACCGGAAAGTGATCAAGGAAAGACCCCGACTGGCGGGATATCCATTACTGATCACGTCAATATATACATTATTTATAATTACATTATATGTAAATTAAATACATTATATACCAAAATATAATGTCTGTATCATTATATATAATGACCATTCAAGGCATTTTATATAATGACCTATCAAATCGAGTAAGAAAGACAAAAACGCTGGCTCTTTCCTGAGAAATGCAAGTAAGATGCATTATGCATCAAGAAAGCTGATAGTCTTTTTCCCTTCTGCAATAATGTTGTAATGTTATTTTTTAATTAACCAAACCAAAGTTACTTTTTAATTAACCAAAGAAATCTTATGTTAAGTTTCAAAATAAATAGAAAAACAAAAGAAAATCTTAACGAAATAAAAAAATGCCTGTTAGCCTTTAATTTATAGGTGCACTAAAAGAGCCATGATTTCTAGTTTGTTTACTTCAATAAATCTCTCAAAACCAGAAGCACAAAACTGAAACTAATGCCAGTACATGAAGGTCAAATGCCATATGAATCAATCCATGTCAAAACAGTTACCACTTAGCTCCATTTACTGGCTTCTAAAAATTCAAATAAATCATTCCATTTTAATGTTACGTATATGGGGCACTGGGCTGGTAGGAGCAGAATAATTTGAGTCGCGTATACGTAACGCTGGTCCTGAACGGGATGAAGAAAGGAGTATCCATACATCATAGCAGCTTGCATGCTCAGTCTTTTTCAAATGATCGTGTACTTTTTGAAATTTCATTCTGTCTGATAGTTCTTGTACTATACAATGAGGATTTTAAGCAACAGCTTCTTATAGGTTCTTGTTTACAGAGGATAATCTAGAGTGAACATCATTATTGAGGCTGACATTTCTGTGCTTCTCAGATTTCCTTTGAACTGTGTCATCAGAAACAACTTTTCCACGTATAGATCAATTTTTATGAACAATTCTGACTGGCATTTTTTCCCTTTTTTTTAAGTAAAAAAGCATAGCATGACAAAGTGAACTTTTGGATTCTCCATTCTTATTGCATTGAAACAAAAATTATGCTACAGCATATGCTCAAATTATAAAACAAGTGCAGAAAAGATTATATTTAAACATCTACCTTGATCAAGGTCATTTCTTATCAGCAGTAACAAAATGATGAGAAGAAAACATGACTCAACACATCATTCAGAACTAGAAATTCGAGAATGGTATGTTCTCTGGCAAATCACTTTACTGTACCCCATTAAATTAAAAACAAATGAAATTTTAGCTTAATTTCTTGTTTTCAGGCGTTACTTTTTGGATTAAGTGTACATGCATATATGTAATAGTATATACTAAAATTGTTATTGCAAGTTTTATATTGAATAAAATTTAGAATTATCATGCAACTGGAAAGTAGTATCATGAATACTGTTTTCACACTATAGAAAACTTCTGGGAGAAAAGTCTTATAAAACAATCATTTGTCAGTTTAAATTTTGAAATCCTGTATGTGTTTCTTTTTTTAGATTTTATACATTAGTTATAATAAAGTTTTGGATTTAAACAACTACATAGAATGAAATTTGTCTTTTTAATTTATTTCTTGGTAGTTTATTTTTATTAAAATTATTTTTTGGCTGTTGAGAACTTTTATCACTTTCTTTGTTATTTTTTTTTTATACAAGAAGTAAGATTTTCTATTTAATCTGTATATTTGTAAACAATTGGTTACAGTTAATATAATGGTGTCACAACATCCAGCAACATGATCTGCTTTAATATTTATGCTGAATAAGATGATGCCCTGGTACACCTCAGAAGTCGTAAGCTGCCTGTTAAATGCCTAAAGTTCTTTAGGTAAGATTTAAAGTATTAATTTTTTAAAGTATGTTAAATATATACAATTATGAATTCTGCCTGCATTCTTCTATATGTTTTACATTCAAAGATGCTCCATTATCTATAAATATCTGGTTGTAATGAAAGTGGGCCTCATCAACATTAGTAGGCTGGCCAGAACACTCTGCTTCTTAGAAATCATAGTCTGTGTTTTTGACTTCTGATACCAAACCTTCACAGTGTCATATGATACAACATTAGTACCTAAAACTATACACATGATCTGGTGACATTCTGTAGCTGACTTTTTGCAACAGAACTAGAAGTAAATGATGGACCTAATCTGATAACATGATAGTTTGACTTTAGACACCTTGTACTTTAATGTAATGACATTTTTTTACAAATTTCCCAACACAGTATTCTAAAGCAAGTGTCTTTCTTTCAAATGGCAAAAATCGTTTGACAAAATATGATTAAACACGGAAACATGAACAGTTTGCACAGACGATATTTGCGGTGGTGGGAAAATTTCGCTAAAACCCGATAAAATGTATATTGTTTTCATTTGCACTAATATTTAATTTTGATGCAATTCATAATTTGCTTGTACATTGTGTATTAAAAAGAACACTTTTCCATTTTCATATCATACATATACAATAATTAATAGATATTCAATAGAAACACAGTATTTAGATATTCAGTAGAAATTTCACAATTTAAAATACATTAGGATAATTAACATTAAAAGCTACAAAACACTCGAATATTTATCTGTCATTTTAATTTGAAGCCTTCCCAAACATTTTGGCTAGTTTATATCGATTTCCTTCTCTTTAAGCATCTTTTCTAACAATTAGATTTATCTTAATATACAAACCAATGTCCTTGCTAGTTTCTATGTGCTTTATCTCCTAACCTGTGAACCTCTCCATAATGTACCTATGAGGGTTTACTTTAACTGGTAAAAGTTAACTAGTCCAAAACCTCCGACAGACGTGAAGCATATTATAGCTATGTCTGAAAGTAAGTACAATACCCGACAAAGGTTTAAATAAAAGGCTTATTTAAAAAGAACTTAAAACATAAAGGCATGTTCTGATGCTAACAAAATCAATTACAGCTCATGTTGACGTAATTAAACAAGAACAGCCAAATTCAAACTAAAAATAGGGAGTAGTGGTCAAAGACTATACAATTTAATTTTAATTTACTCTGGCTCAGTAAATCTATCATATAAGGATTGGATTGGATTATTCAATTATGGCAAAGCATACGAGGACTATCTGTCTGAAGGGAAGGATGCCTTCGTGAAGGACTTTCTAAGGGAAATTGGCTCGTATACACATGGGAAAACCATGAAAACACGTATGCAGCCGGCCCGTTCGCGGGATTTGAACCTCGGACCGAACTACCAGTGTTCAGCATCTTTACCGCTCGGCCACTGGTGGGCGTATCATATAAGGAAATAGAAATAGGAAATTATAGTAAAGGCTAAGATTATAAACAATCGGGTAATTTACATAATAATAATAACTGCACATATCTTTGAAGACTAATTTTCTTTATGCATTCGGTTTTCTTTCTTTAACGCGTTTCCTTTTCATTTTAGAATTTTTGGATTTCTGTTATTTTAAAAAACACTAAATGCATTTAGAATGTATAGAAAAAGCGGCTAATTTTATTTCGTTAGTAAAATGAATATTTAGAAGAAATATGAAATGTATATGGAAAAGGCCAGTTACAGAGCTGATGTGTCAGAATTTTAGAAGTTAGTGATACACCAACAACAAAATCTAGAAATGGCAAAACTTTTAAGAATTTACAGCAGGCATTGGGAGCAGAATTTAGAAAAGCACTAGGCAGCAGAATTTAGGATCCACAGAGGTTGCATCAGGTGGGAAAATGCCTATTGCCAGCTATGTGTATGATGCATTAAGACATATTGGATGAATCTTTTAAATTGTAAGTTTTCAGTTTCTTTATTAATAAAAAAATCCCTTTATATAATGCCTGCCCATGTGATAAGATTAGAAGCATTTTTGATATTTTCCATGCTTGAGTCTAGTGAAAAGTAGAGAAAATAAAAGGAAGATAAACATGTTAAAAGATTCTAGTATCAGAAGTAAAACATTCAAATATTATGTTTTCATTGTTCTTCCAGACGTTTTCCAAAAAGTAAGAAATTCATTGCAAACTTTCTGTAATATACATCCATTATGTGTTGATACCATGGAGACATTTTAAATTTTGTCACATATTTCTCGAATCTTCTAGAATCGTAGGTCTGTAAATCTTGCCTTCAAATCCTTCTAAACCTTCCAAGCTACAATGTCTAAAATCCTAAAGAAAAATTACTGCTACGAATTCTATAACAGCAAAAAGCCAGAAATATTTTGCGAAAAAAAAATCAGAGGGGAAAAATGTAAAATTAATTTCAGAGAGAAAACTGATGTATATTCTGAGACAATAACATGGGAAAAACTCTTACCATAAAAAAATTAAAAAGAAGATATTTTAAATTAATTACATAGCTATTTTGCCTTTGCTAAGAAATGTTTGGTAAATTGTGCTTTATAACATTATACCTTGTTTATTTTTTCAGATTCAAGATATTGTATAAGTGGCCAAAATGGAATTTATAATGTGGCAGCGAAAAATAAAAATGCTTTACTTTAATGTTATTTCTTAAATATAATTACAATACATTACCATTACTTTAATGATATTTATCAATGTTATAATGTTCTATAAAAATTGTCGTAAAATTCTCGGACCTCGGAATTAAAAATTTTCTGTAGAAACTGATTTTAAAATTGCCAAAATGTTGATAAGTCACCAAATTTAGAAACTTTAATAAAAGAATTCACGTCCCAAAAGCGAAAAGTTGTTTAAAAGCTCTTTATTAGAAGAAATGAATTTCGAAAGGCTTATGTTTCACTTCTTGCTTAGAAACTTGAGTATCCCATCATTTATACTATTAGAAATAGAATCAAATTATAACCCATGAAACCATTCAAAAAATAACCATATATGTCAGTTAATCGCCAAAAATATTTCTCCAAAATGCTAATTCACACTCAAAATGGCAGTCGTAAAAACAGACAGAAATTTCAGATGATTAAAATTAAGGACCTTCTGCTGAGTTTATCCAAAATTAAGGACTTTTAAGGACCAAAAATCGATTCCAAAAAATCTAAGGACCCTAGGAACCCTGAAAGTTGTCAGTCATTGGTGATTGCTTTTTTTTGCCAACGTAACTCATGACAAGCAGTAATAAAAAAAAAAAAAAAAAAAAACTGTCATGATCTAAAATTCAAACCATCAGCAACCAATTTTTTTGTATGTTTTATGCATGTGCATCTGGTATTTTTTTCTTAAAACTTGGAGTTCTGATTCTTAATTTCACTTTGGCCTCCATCTTGAAGAAACAATCATTTATTAACAGAAATCTGTATGGTCAATAATTTGGCTCTGTAGCTGCCTTTTTACTTGGTTTACATATCAAACTGAAACATTCTGCATCAAGACATCGTGACTTTTACACCTACTGAATAATTTATATTCCTGATGCCAACCTGGTGAATCATTATTTATTAAATTTTTCCCCATCACTGCATGACTATCGACATACAGCGGTTTGAGAAATGGCTAATGTAATGATGTTTAAAAATTTTTTTCTTAAATATTAGTAATTGAATGTAAAAAAAGTATAGTAACCTTTCATGTTTACATTACCCTTGGTGACGACTGCAGAATTCAGCTGCGAAGTGCTGAGCATGTTGACGAGGAGAAATTTAACAGAAATTTCTTTCCATATGCAAAAAATAGATTTTATAAATGATACTTATAGGCTAAGAGATAACATTTAGTGTTATTTGAATTGAGAATAACTGATTTGTTATTGAGATAAGCCCAGGATTGTTGCCAGAGCTGGTGCAGCTGCACTAGGCTGCAGAATTTGAGGGAGGCAAAATATTTAGGATTTACAGTGTGATCAAGAACAAAATTAAGCTATGGCATAATTTCCAGAATTTAGAGAAAATACTGAGATGCAAAATATTTAGAATTTAGTGAGGCACTTGGCAGTAAAATTTAGGACAAAGGACTGCAATGGGATGCAAATTGTTAGCACCATCCCTGGATAAACCTTAAGTATGTGTGGAAATTTATTTATTCGGGACTTAGATAGGCATTAAACATGCACAGAAAACAGACATAGGTATAATAACTAATACAATTTAAGCTTAACTTGATCATCGTACAATAGAAGCAGTACAAAATTTAAGGGAACATCATATCATTAATGACCAAACTTGCCGATAGTGTATGATGAATGCTAGCTAAGTTTTATGATGATAATCACAAATTAAAGGTTTTCAGATATTGCAAACAAAAATAAAATTTTTTGAATTAATGGAATTTGTAAAGAAATTGTAATAAATAAAGATGATATAACCGAAATTTTTTGTTGCGATGACAATGCCCTAATCATCAGTTCACTAACAAACAGCAAAATCTGTGGTATGGTTCTAAATCCAGAAAATATCATTACTGATTATGAAGCAAGTGACAGAGAAGTTGTTGACAATGAAAAATTTTGATTGATAGTGGGAATTCTCGGCACAGCAATTGCAGGACTTGAGGAATGAAACTTTGCAGGTGAACAAGAAATTGTCTCTCTGTCTATATATATGTGTGATAAAAACTTGGAGTAAGCTGTAAAGGATTGACGGTAGTTCTCATCATCAATTTGGGGAGACTTTTGCATAATTAGAAAGATGACACTTGAAGAAGAGACTTATAGACGTAGCTGAATTGAACGTAAGTTTTATTGCTGGACACTAACTAATTATCGAGACCAAATTTTTCATTACACACAGTCATGAGAGCAACATGCACACCACAGTTTTATATGGAGTATCACATTTTAAATAACAGCGTAGTTAGCTGTTCGATAAAGCACAAGCAAAATGAAATGGCATCTGAGCAGCAACAGAGCTACAAGCTAACTG